GGTGTGTGTGTGTGTGGGGGGGGTGGTATATACATAAAGATGTATAATCTTTATAGTGTATTATATACACTATAAAGACTTTAAAGGCCACAGACATGTAGATGTTTGTGAAAGATGTTTTCTCTGTTTTGGAGTGATGATTAATTTTAAATCATACCCTATTTATTGCATCAAAATGTGTTAATACTTTACTATATTTAAGGGTGAACTTTGTCTAGTGCTCTTATGAAAGTTTATAGCATGATTTGTGAAAATGTAACTATACTGAATGACATAGCATATGCTTCTTCGTGGCTAGTTTTTGTGTATTTCATTTCATTCTGTAACCTATCTGTGTGTACTAGTGTTAAATGCTACTGTTTTTGACAGCGTTGATAACGTTTATGACCGATAATATCATGATCATTTTTGCGTTTCCCTTACCGAATGTCGTATCCTGTCAGCAAAAACCTGTCCATGGGCTTTTTTGATTGCTTTCAGTTTAAGTGCCGGCAATGTAGTGTTGCCAGATATTGATATTAAAACAAACAAAAAACAAAAATAAAAATAAACCGAAATTATTTCCAATCTTTTGCAAATAAGATAAGATAAAGATATCGCTGACTCTAAACTGCAACTTCCTACTTTATTAACTTTCTAAAGTGTTAAATTAAGTGGAAAAGACAAGTCCAGAAACGCTTATAATAGATTGATCTGGCAACTATATAGCTGATCCCGCGCCCTCACTCACAACTCTCAAGCCTCGTTCACTCCGCCAGCATCTAGCAGCGATCATGTTCATAATTAATAGATTGATCTGGCAACTATATAGCTGATCCCGCGCCCTCACTCACAACTCTCAAGCCTCGTTCACTCCGCCAGCATCTCGTAGCGATCATGTTCATAACAGGGATGCTAAACATTCTTGCAAACTGTCTAAACTGAATTATACATGTCATGCAGGCATTCACATTAGGAGTTTAACAGCAAATTAGTCATTCAAAGAACACATTTTATTTCTGAACATGAAAAATTTACCGAGGTCCGGACCTCGTTGGCCTCATAGCTGGTTACGGGCCTGCATGTACTACACCAGCTTAAAGAAACATCATGGGTTCAGTATAAGTAAAGCTTATTTGACAAGTTTTAGTAACTTTGTTGTGTTCTTTTGTAATTTGTTTTGTTTCTTTCCCCTTATTTATCTTTATTCTTATTTCAGTTTTTTTTGCTTGTTTCAACGTATTTCAATTTTATTTCAATTAGACGCCAAGGTGACATTTTAAGTTTAATAATATTTATATTTTATTTCTGCTTTATATAAATAAATAAAAAAGTTTAGAATAACCATAACACTGATGTGAAGTTTACTATTATATAAAAACAATTACAATTATTTGAGCTGAAAATCTCAATCATAATTTTTGCAGTTATTTTAAGGTTTATGCTACTATAAGACATTTCAAATGTTCATTTACGTTTTCATCTAATATTTATATTTTATTTTATATCTGCTTTATTTAAATTATCAAAATAACTTTTTTTGTTAACAATAACACCACTGATATGAAGTTTACGCTTTTATAAAAATGATTACATTAATTATTATTTTAATACTTGTACTATTTGAGCTGAAAAAATGTTTTTACAATCATTCTAAGGTATGCAACAAATTTGTAAAACTGCACACAATTTTACAAGGTCAGCGAGTGACTAAAATCATGCTAACACATTTACAGTATGTATTGTGGCTATACAGCTCAAAAAGTTATTTTTATTTTATTGTATTGTTATTTTATTATTTTTTTATGGTTTAATGATTGGTCCTGTTCACTTCCATTCGGAGTGTCTCACTATAACCCAGATTTTTGCAGTACAGCATTTATAGCACATTTCAAATGCTGTGCAATGAGCTTAAGTTGTACTTAACTCAGAATATTCCTTTAACGTCACATAAATTGATCAGAACAGGAGAGAGAAAATTAAAAAGTGCATGTGTGACCAATCAGCAAACAAAACTATAAATCAAGTGTCTATCAATCAAAATGTCTGACTCACTAATTTGTGCAGATGCATGTCATTCTTTCCATTGTAAATATTAATCTCAATGGGGCTAAAACAAGTTGTCTAGCAGAGGACTAAGCAAGAATGTGTTATCCAGGGCATCTGCTTTTATTTAACTTAATCTGTATCAGTAGGTAGTATGTACGTACAACAAAGAGATTAAATTAAAATGGAAGCAACACAATTATTACTGTACAGCTGATAATTAAGCCTAAATAAAGCATAGAAGAACTCTCACAAACAATCAATACATGTTTACCAGTAGGTGGTTTGAATGATCATTATTCCTAATTAATTTTTATTGGAAAAACCAATAAAATAATATTTCAAAGCAAATATTTGGTCAACATTTATATCAATAGCACACCTCTCTATGATGGTTTTGATTAAACAAAGTCATAAATTGACATCTACAGCCAGTGATCATAAAATCTGCAGAAAATCATATAATAAGCTCACAAACAGACACACAAAATTACAAGAGGACTAAGCAAAATGTGAACTTATATTATGGATCATGAAGACAGCATAAAAATAACTAGAGTCTGACCTCTGCTGTTCTGTGTATTGGTTCACCAGAGTACATTGCATATATTCTCTCACTAACAAACAAAACTGTCACAAGGACAATAGTCCCACTGAATAATTTCACACTGTACTCATTTCCTGTGGAGCGCTCTGACAAAGGGCTTTGCTGAAGAGAAAATAGGCACGAAACATCTGCTAAGACATCTGTTTGATGCCCTGTTGTGCCCTGACTTCGCAGCCTGCTGTAAGCCCACGCTAGCACTCCAGTAATGACACGTCCCAGTGATCCTGCACTGCAGAAAGTCAGGGTCAGCCAGGGCTGCGCTGAGGTCTTCTGTCATGGGCAGTACTCTTAAATACAGTCATTTCGGTTTCAGCACCACAGACAACAGCACTGCTGCACATACACTGCTGACTTTCAGAACCATAGACAGCACACAATATATGTTTTAGACTTACATGATGCTATAGTCATCAATAGATGCTTAAAGCAGAACATTAAATTTCTTTAAACTGTATGAAAAATACAGGTAATAACAAACGTCTGTGGTCAAAACAGGCCAAATAAAGGGTGCGAAATGAAAACTGCCTTTTAAGGATCCTTCAAATTGAGATGTCCTTGTGCAGTGCTGGGCTTGAGAACCTCCAGGACAAGTTTGAAAACCCCTGATGTAAGACATCTGATTTCAGCACCACGGACAGTTGCACACATACAGCTGACTTTGAGCACCATGGACAGCACACACTGTAGGTTTTATATTTGCACAATGCTACAGTCAACAGTAGATATTTAAATACACCAAAACATAAAAATTGTTTAAACTGTAGGTCATTCGCTTTCAGTACCACGGACAGCTGCACACATATAGCTGACTTTCAGCACCATGGACAGCACATACTTTAGAGCGTTAAAAACCTTAGAGGTTTTAGAGCGGCACAATGGTGCATTGCTATCATAAACTTCAGTGGATCATTTTTATTATAAGATGCACATAACTTAGTCTAGATTTCATAAACAAAGTCAGAAACTAAATTCCATTTTTTTTCATTATTAAAAATAATAGGCTGAAATGGAACGTTTAATTAGAGAAGAGGTAGTTTAAGTGCACAAGCGTCATAGATGCCCAAAAGCAGTAATTATCTTTCTGTGATTTCTTTTTTGTAGTGAAAATTATTAATTCCCTCTAATTACAAATTAATAATGAATAAATAAATGATACAAGTCATTACACCACCTAAACACTAAAGATATTTTTTAGGTTAATACATATTTTTATTATTATTATTATTATTATTATTATTATTATTATTGTTAAACATTAAATTTCTTTAAACTGTATGAAAAATACAGGTAATAACAAACGTCTGTGGTCAAAACAGGCCAAATAAAGGGTGCGAAATGAAAACTGCCTTTTAAGGATCCTTCAAATTGAGATGTCCTTGTGCAGTGCTGGGCTTGAGAACCTCCAGGACAAGTTTGAAAACCCCTGATGTAAGACATCTGATTTCAGCACCACGGACAGTTGCACACATACAGCTGACTTTGAGCACCATGGACAGCACACACTGTAGGTTTTATATTTGCACAATGCTACAGTCAACAGTAGATATTTAAATACACCAAAACATAAAAATTGTTTAAACTGTAGGTCATTCGCTTTCAGTACCACGGACAGCTGCACACATATAGCTGACTTTCAGCACCATGGACAGCACATACTTTAGAGCGTTAAAAACCTTAGAGGTTTTAGAGCGGCACAATGGTGCATTGCTATCATAAACTTCAGTGGATCATTTTTATTATAAGATGCACATAACTTAGTCTAGATTTCATAAACAAAGTCAGAAACTAAATTCCATTTTTTTTCATTATTAAAAATAATAGGCTGAAATGGAACGTTTAATTAGAGAAGAGGTAGTTTAAGTGCACAAGCGTCATAGATGCCCAAAAGCAGTAATTATCTTTCTGTGATTTCTTTTTTGTAGTGAAAATTATCAGCATGATTAAAAGTGTTTGCCTTGAAAGTAAAGCCTGACCACCTAAACACTAAAGATATTTTTTAGGTTAATACATATTTTTATTATTATTATTATTATTATTATTATTATTATTATTATTATTATTATTATTATTATTATTATTATTATTATTATTATTATTATTATTATTATTATTATTATTATTATTATTATTATTATTATTGTTAAATGCATGTTAATCAAGTCTTTGCAAGAAAGTTATACTTTATTTAACACTCAGGAAATGAGTTTACGATCTCACTGTCAAGCAGAATTATGCAATACCAAGATCTCTTTCTCTCCACTTGATCTAAATAAAATAAGTTTTGATGAGAGTATAAAATGTAAAAAATAAAATAAAACCTTAAGAAGGTTACAGTGTAATGGTGTAAGTGTCTGTTGCAGATACTTACCACTTCTGGCATCTTCTTCAGGAAACGGGTTCCCACCTGGGTTCAGGGTCACCCCAAAGGTCTTATTTCCAAATGGGGCATCACAGGGATCCACATAGAGAAGAGAGCCACCGAACCCCACCTCTGCCAGAAGAGAGAGCTGTGGAGAGATGACAGAGATTAAACTCTTTGTGCAAGATACACTGCTGTTTAAAAGCATGTATGTGTGTACATGTGTACTGGTATATATGGTTTATGAGGACACAAATGTGTATAATGACATGGGTACTACAACCCATGGGTACTTCAAAGCCTCTGGAGGTAACTAGTTCTCTCTCTGGTCCCCAGTGTGGGTGGACAATATCACAATAGCAGTAGTAATTAATGATTCTCCTTGTGCCATCTCAGTCAGTGTGAGTATCTGAGTGTGTTTGTCCTAAGAGCTGAGAGCGTTGCACAGCTTTTATCATTAGAGCTTCCAACAGCTCTGCCAAATTAGCCAAACCACAGTATCTATCACAGCAGCTCAACTTGTCAGAGATGGAGGAAAAGTGTGTACATGTGTACTGGTATATATGGTTTATGAGGACACAAATGTGTATAATGACATGGGTACTTCAAAGCCTCTGGAGGTAACTAGTTCTCTCTCTGGTCCCCAGTGTGGGTGGACAATATCACAATAGCAGTAGTAATTAATGATTATCCTTGTGCCATCTCAGTCAGTGTGAGTATCTGAGTGTGTTTGTCTTAAGAGCTGAGAGCGTTGCACAGCTTTTATCATTAGAGCTTCCAACAGCTCTGCCAAATTAGCCAAACCACAGTATCTATCACAGCAGCTCAACTTGTCAGAGATGGAGGAAAATTAATGTATCTTTTATATGGTTACTAAAAACACAATATATCACAGTGTACTTGGTGTTTCGTAAACTATTGGCATATTTATGTCTTAGGAGTTGATCATATTAATATAATCAATATATAAATATAATTTTATAATTATACAAAAAGGGTGAACATATTATTTCATATCGCCATACTTGGCCACATGTCACGTCACTTCACTTCACTTCACTTCAAATTAATGTATCTTTTATATGGTTACTAAAAACACAATATATCACAGTGTACTTGGTGTTTCTTAAACTATTGGCATATTTATGTCTTAGGAGTTGATCATATTAATATAATCAATATATAAATATAATTTTATAATTATACAAAAAGGGTGAACATATTATTTCATATCGTGTATTTACAATACATAATGCGATCCATAGGTTTAATTGATACCAAAAAAAAAGTTTTAAAACCATCTCTTTTATCATAAAATGCTATAAAGCATGATACATAATTTAAGATGTGTTGGAAATGACATTGAGGCGCACATAACAGATTTTTTTTCTGTGATGCCTGTATATCCAATGTTAGCAGACAAATGAAATAAACTAGTGAGAGTGAAAAATGTGTCTAAAGAGAGTTTATTTTCTGAAAGTCCACAGGGCCAAAAGTGTAGATAGCTGAGGAAACACCCACATACAAATCGATGATCTTAAAGTAGAGCAAATAATTCCCAAGTTTACTGAATTTGAACTTCATACTTACATCCCCAGGGGTAAAGAATGAGGATGTTGCCGCCTTACATGGCAGTAGATGTTTATATCATCTGAGTCACTGTTCAAAGGTCCCTGTTTACCTTGAACATCTCGTCGACAATCTCATTGCGGCTGCTAATGGCGGTGTATACCATATGCACAGCAGCACATCATTTATGCTGATGGTGCCAGTTGTGTCAGCGGTTAGACTGTGTGTCAAACAGACAGGCACATTTGGTGTGAAGGCATATGCACCACTGGGTGTTGTGCAAATGAAACTCCCTAGCACCTGACATCCATATGAGAAGCCAGCCAGAAGCCGCTCCCCATGCACGATAAAGATAAACAGGCTTGTAATAGGCTTGGAAATCTTTTACAATACGGGATGATTTATTCACAGATAGCAATCAACACATTGTAAATATGTTGGTTGCTTGGGTGCGTCATGCCTCTTGCTAAATGCCAACAACATGTCCTTCACGGGAATACAAAGGAGCACAACTAAACACACAGCACTTGACATTTACTTACAGTCACCGATACACACAGCGGCTCATAGAGGATGAGAGAAACTGCATTGCTTAGCCAATAATCTACCTGCTACTAATTTTTGTATTACTTTTTGTAGGATTGCCATTATTAAATGTAATGAAATTTAATGTGCTCATGTTCATTTGTTCCATTATTGCTCTTCACAAATTTGTTATGAAAACAGTAAAAAACGGCAATATTTATGAATGCTACATGTCCCCTGTTCGTCATATTACGTTAATGACACACATAAACTACAGGAAGTATTTCATCTAAACAGACCAGCCTGTTAAGACGCCATGATTTTGAGACTATAATCTAAGGATAGGAATTTAATATTAAAAGGGTTTTGAAGTTACCTGAAATATTGTTACATTTTGCTGTTGCATGCATAACATCATCATGGAAAAAGTACCATCATTCTCTGGGCTAATTGTCTGAGGAGGATCAGTCAAAACGCTTGATCCTCGCAGACTGAGCGTTAGCACTCGCTTTAAAGAAAATCAATAACTCTTCCCAAACAAATGACAGCTAAGAGTGCCTGGTACAGAGCTAGAATTCAAATTGAGTCTAGTGCTTCCAAAGGTCACCATTATCTGCATTATACAGTCATATCAATAGAATCTATGCCAATGAAACACACATGTGCAAACTCAGAGGCACTTTCTGTGAAAATTCAATGAGTATTAATAAAAAGAAAGAAACTAATTATTATTTTTTCGGTGGTGTCACCGTATCATGGTAGAAAAATACTTTTGTGCCTCTCACCCATAATTTGACTGTTTAAAATATTAATTCATTGTTTACATTTATTAATTTAGCTTAAATCCACAACATTATCAGTTTTGTTAAAGGAATAGTTCACTCAAACATTTTCATTTGCTGAAAATGTACTCACTCTCAGGATGCAGATGAGTTTGTTTCTTCATCAGAACAGATTTTGAAAAAAATGTGCATTACAACACTTTCTCACCAGTGGATCCTCTGCAGTGAATGGGTGCCGTCAGAATGAGAGTTCAAACAGCTTATAAAAACATCACAATAATCCACAAGTAATCCACACAACTCCAGCTCATAAATTAAACAATTTTAACTTTAAACTGTTGCTTCTGGTTAAAATATCAGTCTTTAATCCATAGTAACACTTCCTCCAGTGATCCAGTGGATTGTAAACAGTGCTAGATCTGTGCATATTTCTCTCCTGATTCAGACAATATCAATATTAATCAATATTAATCAAAAAAAAAAAAAAAATGGTTCACTCATAAATGAATCATTAAATTAATCATCATTTACTTACATTGCTGAAGCTCCAAAAAGCACATAAACTACCATAACAGCATAAATCATTTGTGTAATGTATTCGAATTCATTCGACTGATTTGTGAGTAGAAGCCAGCCAGAAGCCGCTCCCCATGCACGATAAAGATAAACAGGCTTGTAATAGGCTTGGAAATCTTTTACAATACGGGATGATTTATTCACAGATAGCAATCAACACATTGTAAATATGTTGGTTGCTTGGGTGCGTCATGCCTCTTGCTAAATGCCAACAACATGTCCTTCACGGGAATACAAAGGAGCACAACTAAACACACAGCACTTGACATTTACTTACAGTCACCGATACACACAGCGGCTCATAGAGGATGAGAGAAACTGCATTGCTTAGCCAATAATCTACCTGCTACTAATTTTTTTATTACTTTTTGTAGGATTGCCATTATTAAATGTAATGAAATTTAATGTGCTCATGTTCATTTGTTCCATTATTGCTCTTCACAAATTTGTTATGAAAACAGTAAAAAACTGCAATATTTATGAATGCTACATGTCCCCTGTTCGTCATATTACGTTAATGACACACATAAACTACAGGAAGTATTTCATCTAAACAGACCAGCCTGTTAAGACGCCATGACTTTGAGACTATAATCTAAGGATAGGAATTTAATATTAAAAGGGTTTTGAAGTTACCTGAAATATTGTTACATTTTGCTGTTGCATGCATAACATCATCATGGAAAATGTACCATCATTCTCTGGGCTAATTGTCTGAGGAGGATCAGTCAAAACGCTTGATCCTTGCAGACTGAGCGTTAGCACTCGCTTTAAAGAAAATCAATAACTCTTCCCAAACAAATGACAGCTAAGAGTGCCTGGTACAGAGCTAGAATTCAAATTGAGTCTAGTGCTTCCAAAGGGCACCATTATCTGCATTATACAGTCATATCAATAGAATCTATGCCAATGAAACACACATGTGCAAACTCAGAGGCACTTTCTGTGAAAATTCAATGAGTATTAATAAAAAGAAAGAAACTTATTCTTATTTTTTTGGTGGTGTCACCATATCATGGTAGAAAAATACTTTTGTGCCTCTCACCCATAATTTGACTGTTTAAAACATTCATTCATTGTTTACATTTATTAATTTAGCTTAAATCCACAACATTATCAGTTTTGTTAAAGGAATAGTTCACTCAAACATTTTCATTTGCTGAAAATGTACTCACTCTCAGGATGCAGATGAGTTTGTTTCTTCATCAGAACAGATTTTGAAAAAATGTGCATTACAACACTTTCTCACCAGTGGATCCTCTGCAGTGAATGGGTGCCGTCAGAATGAGAGTTCAAACAGCTTATAAAAACATCACAATAATCCACAAGTAATCCACACAACTCCAGCTCATAAATTAAACAATTTTAACTTTAAACTGTTGCTTCTGGTTAAAATATCAGTCTTTAATCCATAGTACTTCCTCCAGTGATCCAGTGGATTGTAAACAGTGCTAGATCTGTGCATATTTCTCTCCTGATTCAGACAATATTAATATTAATCAATATTAATCAACAAAAAAATAAATAAAAATGGTTCACTCATAAATGAATCATTAAATTAATCATCATTTACTTACATTGCTGACGCTCCAAAAAGCACATAAACTACCATAACAGCATAAATCATTTGTGTAATGTATTCGAATTCATTCGACTGATTTGTGAGTAAAACACAATGAAATTCAAATCTATATTCACTCACATTCAAATCTGGCACATACTGTATGCAACAACGTGTTTGCACAACCTGCAGTAGTGTGCGTGGACTCAACAACAAATAAGCACATACAGGCGGTGAAGAAATTAAACTGTACACTAACCACATTGGTTCTTGCATGCATAATCAACACAGTATGAAAAAGAGTGAGAACTGAGAACAAGTCACATTTACAATACCTACTTTGAGAACCCCTGCTTGAATGCACAGTAATCATGTATCAAGTTTGAAAATGATTCAAACATTATATTGAGAACATGAAACACAAGGACAACAAAACCATCAGGTGTCTTTCCTCAAGTCAGCAAACTATAGGGTATCACCTGTGCTTCATCCATTAATAAATATCAATTAAAATGATCCCTATTACTCTAATGACACAAACACCTGAGTTTGAAATAATTATCTTGGTGAAGGTTTTCAGAAATGGTTTACATAGTAAAAGATATGACTTGAGCTGTACCATAATTGTTTATGCATTAATCACATATAACGATTTCCCAAACAGCTGCCGGTGATTTAATTATAAGAAATAACTTGCTTTAATCCCTGTCGTGATTAAATTCAACTTTAATAAGCATGGTTATTTGTTGGTTTAATGAGACTAAGTCAATCTAATTTAGTCATTAATGAGTGCCTAGCATCGCTTTGAAGGGATTAAATGCATCCACTTACAATGATCCATAATTAATGTAAAAAATTATTAACAGAGACAGACAGACAGACAGACAGACAGACAGACAGACAGACAGATAGATAGATAGATAGATAGATAGATAGATAGATAGATAGATAGATAGATAGATAGATAGATAGATAGATAGATAGATAGATAGATAGATAGATAGATAGATAGATAGATAGATAGATAGAAAAAATCTAATTACTGAGCCCACACTTTTAAAGGTTTGTGTACCTTAATTTACATCAAAATATATATATTAATTTAACAACATACCTTATAAAGCAAAGGAAATTGTCCAAGTTTCAGCAGTGCTATTTTATTGGTCACATTTGCACTAGCTTGGACTCGTCTCAAATCCTCTGGGCTCCCATACTGAACGTCCACCACCTCTGCCTGGAAAAAAAAAAGATATATATATATATATATGTTTAAATATTTACAATTTTTAAATGGTTCAGGGTAGACTCTGACCTCTCTTGCTGTGTGTGTGAGGAATAACAAGTCTCTGATTTGTAATGTTGTGACTCACGTAACTCACCCCATAAAGCTAGTTGTCACATTCATTACTGATAGCAAAGCATGAGTGAAAACAAAGTGAACATCTCTGGCTGTGTATAATGGGGGACAAGTACATATATTAACCATTGTACCATACATCACACACAGACGCAGCATAGATGTCACAGCTCTGAAAGAATTCAAGGCAGATTCATGGCAGCTACAGGCCACGGCATCCTTCTTGTCATTTAGTCTGCACTAATAAACCAAAACCCGGTTTGTGAGTTTAAGAAAAGCGAGTACCTCTGACCAACGAGGGATTATGAGGTGGGGTCAAACTAAATGCTATTTAAGGCCCAGAGACACAAAGTGGAAATGCATTA